TAATTCAAACGCTGTTGGATGCTCACAACTTGTAGCTATTATCTTCCACTCTTTCTCACTTCTATTTTCAGTAGGATGGATTTTTATTCTTTAGTGTTAACACTTTTCTCAGTAGACAGCTCCCTAAGGCATGCTAGAAACCTAATCATACAGATCTCACACAGATAAAATTCCAACTATGTATTTTGAGTACTCATTCCTTGTCATCCATAGTGAAAATCCTAATTGACTATTAAAGCTGTAAGTAAATTATGAACCAACCCAAACAATTTCTCACTACAAGCTTGGTGTAAACAGTTACAATTCTGTTCATCGCAACCAACAGGTGCACTACCCATCAAGTGAACACACATTTGGTCATAATACATACTTTCAAAGTAACATACTGTAACAAACCCTCTAAACTAAGTGAAACACATTACAGTTGATACTCACGAACATGGAGCACCCAGAGCAACAACAGAATTCAAAACCAACTTCTGGATACTCAGAGCCTTTGAAAAACAGGCTCCTGAGCCCAGGGATGCCACCTTACTCTCATTAAGGTAGAAGAACACTATGTAAGTAGTGACACTACATAAAACCAGATGCATCTCAGCCATGTTAATATAGGAATGGAAAATGACTCAGCTGCGATATTTTGTTTGCCATTATTCTGTGCTTTGCAAGTTCTATTTCCACCATATTTTCCCCTGAGAGCACATCTTAAAAGGAATGTATCTAACATTTGAGTTTATGTCTGCTTCCTTACTCTTGAAGTTTCTTGACCGAGGATGGTATACAGAGACCATACATTAATACTAGCTTTGCTAATTGTGTCTGTTTACCCTTGCTGGTTGTAACTATTGCAATCACACAGGTTTTCCAGAGATGTGCACAATACAGGTGAACAAACAATGCTGTATGTACCTTAGAACTTTTTAAAAAACTCCTGCTAATCCTGTGTTGAAGCAACATGCAAGAACATTTTCTCACATTCAGTACAACACAGCAAATAAAGAAGTGGGAAACAGAAAAATTCAGTGCAGGAGCATAAGAAAGATACAAGCAATTGATTCACTTCTTCCAGGAAAAAGACTTGTGCGTAGCTTTCCAGCCATACAGATAGAGAAGGAGGGTAAACATAGCTTTGGGGGACAACATATAGCCCATTCCTGATGAAAGAAAGGGTCAGATGCAAAGGGCTAGAATGAGCTCTGCTAACATGGCCTGAGAGCCATACAAGACAACTGTTGAGGATTGCTTCATCAGCCTTACTGCCAGCCTGTCTTACAGCAGGCTGCTAGGGAAGATAAGGACAACCGGAACAGGAAGGGTGACAGGCAACAAAACAAGCTTCCCTGGAAGTACTGTGATGAGACGGTGCGGATGGATACATATCAAACCATCCAGTCGAGCAGAGCAAAGTGACTTTTGAAAAAAAAGACGCTTCTCTGCATTTAGACTTCCCGAGAACTGACAAGATGCTACGTCTAGTTCTTTTAACCTGTCTGCTTTATAGCTACACGCAACATGATGACCAAGATTAGAAAGGTAGACTACATAAAACTGAAAAGCTACTGACACCAAGAAAAGAACCAAACTCTGCAAGAAAAAATGAATAATGATAAGGAATAAAAATGTAATTTATTATGGATAAATGCATTAAACTCTAAGCAAAAAAAAATCCTTTTATATCCTTTTATATTTTCTTATTTTTGAAACTTTTTTTAATTTAGAAAGTTGATAGCATGGTCCCAATTATTTATCTATAAATGTCTGTAGAGAAAACATATATGCACGAAGTAATACTTTAAATTGTTAGAGACCTGCATGAGAAACAATATTCTGTTCCAGGAGAATTAGATAATTTTCTTTGTGGTAGAAATAAATAAATAATAATGTTTTAAAGCACTATAAAATTATTTTTATACTTCGAACTTCACAACATTTTTGTATAAATTACTAAATTTTTACATCATTTTCAGTCATATCATTTATCTAAATATTATTGATCCTATGTCAATTACTTTCTGAACTTCAAATAAAATCTAATTGGGGGAGACAAGAAAGTCAGCACTTTTTCAAACAGCTGTTTTGATGAGTCAGCATTTTCTAACAGAAAAAGGCTTCAGAGTTACATGTCAATTGCAATTTGCAGTACAAATGAACTTTTACTACTTAGTGTTGTTAGGTCAATAGCATCAATACAGCTTTGAAACTGAGAAACTAAATTCTAATATCTCATTCATCAGTGTAAGTAATCAAAACCCAGCTTCAAGAGCAATCTTTTGTAATCCCCTTAAGACAAAACCTCATATAGGTCTTCCCTGACTGAAGAATTTGGCCTCCATTTCTAATGATGATGTGTGCAAAGGAAAATCACAGACCGCTCTCAGATCATAGGTGAAATTTATAGCACTGGTATTCTGGAAAATTTATTTTCCTTCTGTAAATTGATTAAGTTTCATTTGGAGTCATGGAGAAACAGTAACAAGCCAATGGCTGCATGAAGCCAATTTCACAATCATTTTTCAAAAAGATACTCTGTCCATACTGTTAAGAATACATTGCAGTCCCTCATAATTAAGGGAGAAGACAAAGGCAAAACTACCTTTTATCATCAAACTATTTTTCAGCATCATTTACAACGTTGTCAGTAACTGCTTTCTAACTGAACATTTCTGAGCGTTGTTGATTTTTTTTAAAGATGATTTAAGCAGCTTTTATAAGCTATTAACAAAATATGCAACCATAATCCTACGAATTCCGTAACTGTGCAGTTACTTAAATTAATTTAGCAGCTTTTTAACTGTTTTCAATGCATGACTTCTCTGGCTATCTTGAGTTATCAGATGCATGAGAAAGATTTGTCAGAAAGAAAGAGGAACTTCTCTCATCAAAATATAAAATAAATCTAACAAGCGCATGACAGACAGCCCTCTGTAGCCATGAAGGAATTTTTTTACTGCCTCATTTCCTCTTCACACATTTTGACTTTTTGGTTCACTCCCTAACTTGCCTGCAAAGATTTTTGCCATTTCCCTTCTGTTTTTATTTTTTCCCTTTCCTTCTTCTTTACTTTGCTCATCTGGTGGCTGTGATATCCCACAACCTCTTCTAGCACATAGATGGAAGATCAGTAACTATAAACACAAATGTCTGACAGTATGGAAGATGTTCATATGCAGGAGTTTTTAATTTTTAAACCACTTAATGTTTTCTTTAAGATACATTTAACTTGATTAGCTCTATGCATATTTCAACACATATTATTCTTCAAACATTCTCAATAGTTATTATTGTAGTGCCAGACAGCCTTCTAATATGCCTAAGTTCAAATTAAATTACTGAAAATGAAATTGCTAAATGTTGTGCGCACTGCAAGCTGCCCAACAGATACTATGAGCACCATGAAGTACCTGGCAGGCATTATAGACCTGGTGGAAGACTCAGCAAATATAATCACTGTGCAGCTCTCTGCAAATATTAAAAGCAGTGTCAAGCTATTGGCAGTCATTACAAACCTTGTCAAAGGTTCTGTGAACATTATAAATAGTGAGAACTAGATGGATAAATGATAAGTGATAAATGATGATAAATTCTGTATCAGAGGTGTGGTAATGACTCCTATTAGGAATTAAAGTATGAAATTCTGAGAAACTGCTTTCATTTCCTTTCTAAAAATCACAGGCTCATATTCATTGGCAACCTGGAAGTACCAATTAACAGTCCTTAAATCGATTCTTCTGATCATTCTAGCATTTTCAGAAAAAGGACTTTTCCTGCTGGGAAATGGATCTCTACAAAGATGTCCATGCTGGGTCTCCATAAAATGGCAGCTTAATATTTTAGAAGTACTGCAGATTTTCAAATGTTCAGCAATACAGGCTACTGGAAACTTCTTGGCCTTCCACTCAGAAGAGCTCATTCCTATTGGCCTCCAGACAGGTATTTGTGTTTCCTTAACAATTCAGCCAATGGAACATTTGTGGCTGGTGTTCACAGCCTTTCACATTTCTCCCAACTTGTAAACAACTGTATTTGCTGCTGTTGTTAAAAACAAATTTTTTGTTACTACTCCAGTCAACCCTGATCTCCATACTGGTATAAATGTGTTAGCAACACACATCATTTCTCTTGTGGTTATTAGGATAAAAGTGTGACTCTCCTTTTGTTTCCGTAAGACATTAGCAAAGTCACCAACCCAGCAATTTTCTGTAATTCGAGAATGTCAAAGATTAAAAGATTCTGTGATTAATGAAGTATGTGTGAAATTATACTTCTGATTATGGAACCCACCAGCATAATCTTAAGGCAATGATTTTTCTCTCTGCAGTATGTGATACTTTTAAAATCTCTGGGTTTGTCTGCTTTTTGCTAGACAGTGTTCAGTGCGAGATAAATTTTCTTTACTCATCCATATTTTTTTGTTTCCTTCCTCACACCATATCCATCAGGTTTGCTATAGTGGAAAATCATTTCCAAAAAGCAATTCACTTATAGATCTTCAAATACAGAATTCACCTAACTGAAGCTCACTCTAAAAATTCTATTCATACTCAAGATGCAGTGCTAAAATCTATAGTTACAGCTTAATAAAAAATGAAAAATACAATAATGAAACCTGACATTTATGCCACACTGTCAGACATACATCTTGAAAGGAACGTGCTATAAATCCCTGTAGGAATCCTTGTGTCATGCAGTATACAATGTAGAGCTACCATCATAGGTAATGTTTTAAATCATGATTATATGTTACATAATATATAGTCAGGATAGTGGTGTTCTTGCAATATACATATATTTATATATTATTTTGTATGAAATAAGCTGTATTTTTTTCCATTGTCTTTCAACCTTATTTGTATTTTTTGTGTTTTATACCTGAATTTATTGTGCTTATATAAGCAAGTCAGATTTATTACTCTTTTTTCTTTTTTGACATAATTTCTGGTTTTTAACATTTTCTCTGGATTCCACCTCAATTTGTAGTGTTAAAGGAGAGTATAGCTCACCACATATCAGCTGGTTTTCCTTCAGGTTACGAAATGACAGTCCTTGTAAAGCACTGGGGTAAGCACAAACTGTTTCCTCTGCTATTCGAACTGAAGCATTTCTGGCCCATTGCAAGACCCATTTCAGATTGCAGTCACAAATAAGTGAATCAGTGTTGAAATGTCTAGAAAGGTAAAGAAAGATCACCATTGGTACACATGCAGTATTCATAAATGTACTTTCTTCTGTTAGGTTCAAATGATATAACTAAAGAGAACTAATTCTAGATAGAGGTATAACTATAGATGTATTACTATAAAGATATCCTGAGACAATGAATACACATTGTCCCACTGTTAAGGCATTCCAAGACATTATGCTATTTACAGAAAAACATCACTGACTAATGAATTAAATTTGAGTAGATGCTACCCTAGAAAGTCGTTCTATAACATACCTTTACTTACTAAAAGCTCATTTAAGTAGACAGTTAACCACAGAAGCACCCAGTACACATTTTAAATCTCAGAGAGGAACATTTAATATGAATAACTGGGAAATGTTAAGGTAATTGCAGCAAAAATATGTAATGAGTTTATTTTTGTATTTAGACTTATTATATGATGCAATGCACGAAAACATGGAAATGTATAAAAGCATAGAGGAAAAATCACAGGGATGCTAGTCAGGATGGCTAGGTGGGGCTAGTCAGGAATTGGGTCAAGCTGTCAGCACTATCCATTTCTCCAGGACAGGTAAATATGGTAGCTCATGAATACCAAGACAGACATTGATAACAAAATGCTGCATATTTTACATTTGGAATGCATTGCTAGAAACAATATTTTTAATTAATATTCAACTCTGCTATGTTTATTCTAATGTCGTTCTTGAATATTTCAGGTATCTGAACATAAGGAATCATACTTACAGCGCTTTCAGAGCAAGCAGCTCAGAAAAAAGTCCATTCATGAGACTTGAAAAAATATTCCCAGACAAATTCCTAGAAAAAAATAAATTTATAGTCAGTTATAACAAATACAAGAAAACAAAATTGTTACAGAGTATAACTTTTCCAATGGTAATTTAGAAATTCTGCTTTCTTGACAACCATAAAAACACATTTAAACTTGTATATTGCTTTTTCATAAATGACTACAATATTCAAATCAAATCATGCCCTTTTCCTTCTTTTATTTTCACAGCAGGTATACATATAATTCACTTGGTCTAATAAACAGGAATATCTGTACATATTTAATAGAACAGAATTTTAGAATAGAATAGTGTAGAATTTAAGTGAAAATATTCATACAATGATTAGTCAGTGAGACTTATGTTGTATATTTATAGTATATGTAGAATGACATCTCAAGGTAAAGAAAGAAGTGTCTTAATTAAGTAACACTCAAGAATTCAAGCAATTCCTTAACATAGTAACAAGTAACCACACAAATAGTTTTATTACAAAGCAATTTAAACAAACAGATTTTTCCCATCCTTAAATTCTTAAGAACATTTCCATTTCCATTTTAACTAACGTTTTGCTGCTTTTTGTATTGATGACTGAATGGATTAAGCCATATATTTGCAAACAGATGCAATTTAATTTTGCCTAGTTTAATAGTATTGCTCTGCTGGCGTCTTAGAAGTATAAAAGGAAAATGCTTAATGTCAAGTAATAGTGTCTTTTTCTATACCAGTAAACATGAAAGTCAGTGTAGTATCCAAGATTAACATATTAATTACCTATTTTTGAAATACTGATATATGTCTATCCAGTACCTGAAGCCTACCTATCTAAATTCAATGATGGCTACAAAATTTCAGCTTTCAGTGAAGTTTCTCTTCACTGGAGATTTGTTGTTACATACAGAAAACCATATACTGGTAAAGAAAACTGATTCATTAGTTTTTAATTTTAAAAAATATTTTTATAATTATTGATTTTACTGTCTTATGACTACAGAGTAAAGAATGTATACTAAAGCGAAGATAAAAATTCAGATCAGGAGCAATGTTCCACCAGTGACGAATCCATCAAGCTGCAAAATATGTCAACCAGCTTCATAAAGTAAGGAAGTACAAAAATCTCAAGAATCATGCTTTCTACAGAAACCTATACAGATACATATGTGTTAATGAATTCAAGAAAGAAAATAAAATATTGCTAATCTATAAATTACTTTAAGAAAGTTATGGAGCATTCTTGAAACAATAACTAATCTTATTTTTATACAAAATTTTTCACCACTGAAATAATTTTTTAAATTTTTTTTCTTTAAAAAGAAAATTAACTTTGAACACTTCAAATTTTCATGGTAGTTTAATACAAAATTCTACTAATACAGAAAAGTAAACTGGCTTAGCAATGTTATGTGAAATAATTTCTCATTATATTGAGTGACAATGAGATGTGTTGATATAGTTGAAGTCATCGTTAAGATTTTTTTTTCACCAACGCACCTGTAATACAGGTGGAGTGAAAAGCTCTTGGAAATAGAAAGGTTTTCAAGTACCTTTTTAAGTGTGGGAATGTCTAAAGGTAGAAATGAATGTTTGTTTGCTGCTACCTATTTCTATACCTTTAATAGTTTGGTTTAATCATCAGGAACTAAAAATACCGAGCATTTCACAAAGACTCAGTTACCTCTTAAAATAAAATGGATCTACTCTCATGTTTATTGGACATAAGCCCTGACAAGGCATCTGCTGAAGCAGATCAGTGAACTGGGATGTTAAACAAACTAAATCAGAAACTCATAACCCTGACATTTACACTGAAGCAAATCAGAAGTGATTCCACTAATATGAACACAGTTACAGTAGTGTAAACTTACTGACAGGACAATCATGCTGAACTGAAGGACAGGGAACATGATGTGCCCAGCCTTGCATGGGTGGCAGCCAGAAAGCAGAAATACAAGGGTTTTCTTTTTTTCTGCCTTACCCCTCTGCAGTATGACAACATTTCTGATCTGACGCAAATCCCAGATTTCCCTTAAATAGCTAGCGAGGCTTCATACAACCAAACCAACCATACAGCTAGTCTGAGTTTTGGTAATTCTGTTTGGACTAAGGGAAGGTTTTATGTCTGGTCAACATCTTAGGAAACATGGGAAAAATGTAAGCAATTTCCGTGGGTGATGTAGCAGGGGTCAGCAGATGTGTGGTAGGTCCATTCTGTACCTACTGAATCTATGCATTTTCCATAGGTCCTACTGAAACCACTGAGATATCTAGCCAGAACTGGCCTACACTGTGTTAGCCTAAAAATTCCTGACTTGTTCCACTTACAGATTTTTTTTCTTTTTATCATGACAGAGAAGTATGTAACCCTTTACTTCAGTGGTTTTGCCAAGTGCTGGAATAATTGAGTTCAAAAGTCACCACAAAGCCAGCAAGCCAATTTTTCATATTGTTTCATAGTCTTCTGGCAATGACCTGGTTTGAAGTTTTTGTGTTCCTGCTAATAATTAGCAAAATAAGAACATGTTCACACTGCTGTTTAAATCATAAAGAAAAACATTTCTATGCCGAAGAAACACATAATTACAATATCTAGATCTCCAACAGTGGCAATAGATTCTTCTCTAACAAAACTTTAATATATTTTCTGAAATTACCCCAATAGGATATGCATTTTTGAGCTACGTATCTGCAGCACCCTGCAAATGACTGGTTCTGTCAGTTGACATCACTAATATTATATATAAACATATCTCCAAATGCATAGTGTTGTGAAATTCTGCCATTTTAAATATCCTAAAGACCCACTCTAGCTTGATTTAAAAGGATATTTGTTCTAAAAACATCTATATCATCTAGTTTGCAAACATTTCAAACATAACAAATTAATGCACTCCAAAGCTGATAGCACTTACTATGCCATTAACTTACTCCATTAACAGAAACACGAGCTTTCTGTTGTAGCAGAAGTAAAACATTTTCTTTTTAAGTATAAGGTCCTACACTTTTTTTCATATATTAAATACTCTTTTGCTTTTACAGAAATTAATAAAGCACTTTTGCCAAAAGCTGTAATATAAATGACAAATGTCATAAATTAGTCAAAGGGAGTTACGTGTCTCAAAGGATCATTTTCAGGCAAAATACAGGTAGAAGCAGGAGTATATGAATGTGAAGAGTGTTTCACTCTTGTGAGCAGTACTAAAAAGCAAAAGCTGAATGCAAGAGTGACAGATTGATCTTCTGTGCAAAAAGCCTGGGATAGGATGGGTAAAAAAAATTACGACAGAGATACAGAGAGAGCAGGTTCTGATATGTATTTTCTCAATGTTGCCACAGTGGAGTCTGTTTGATTCACTATGGCAAGTGTAGATTCTTGCATCTGGGGAAGAACAACCCCATGTACCAGTATAGGTTGGGGATTGACTTGCCGGGGAGCAGAACAGCAGAAAGGGACCTGAGGGTCCTGGTGGACAGCAGGATGACCATGAGCCAGCAGTGTGCCCTCGCGGCCAAGAAGACTGCATCGGGAATATTGTGTTCAGTTCTGGGCCTCTCCGTTCAAGAAGGACAGGGAATTGCTTGAAAGAGTCCAGCGCAGAGCCACAAAGATGATGGAGGGAGTGGAGCATCTCCCTTATGAGGAGCGGCTGAGGGAGCTGGGTCTCTTTAGCTTGGAGGAGACTGAGGGGTGACCTCATTAATGTTTATAAATATGTAAAGGGCGAGTGTCAGGAGGAAGGAGCCAGGCTCTTCTCTGTGATGTCCAAAGATAGGACAAGGGGAAATGGGTGCAAGCTGGAGCACAGGAGGTTCAGCCCGAACATAAGGAAAAACTTTTTCCTTATGACCAGGCTGCCCAGAGAGGTTGTGGAGTCTCCTTCTCTGGAAACATTCAAAACCTGCCTGGACATGTTCCTGTGTGACCTGGTCTAGGTGATCCTGCTCTGGCAGAGAGGTTCAACTTGATGATCTTTTGAGGCCCCTTCCAACTCCTA